GAAGGCTGACGTTTCGGGCCTAGACCCTTCTTCAGAAATGGGGGAGGGGAAGGGGGTTCTGAAATAAATAGGGAGAGAAGGGGAGGCGGATAGCATCTGCAGTTCCTATTATCTCAAACAATTTTAACCCCACTGCGAAGCCTCTTCTAAGGATGCCTACCCTGAAGAAGTTACCCTCCTCCCTCCGAAACCAACCTCAGTGGCTTTGACCTGTCTATCTCCTCTCCACCTATCTTCTCCTCTATCCATCTTCTATCCGCCTCCCCCTCTCTCTCTACTTATTTCAGAACCCAAACAATACAGCCATACGCAGTCTTTTGCAGCTAGGAAATAGTAGCTAGCAAGGTGACTGATCGTGTCATAGCAATGAATGAGTAGTCAGTCTGGTATTGGTCAAAAGGAGAGAGCACAAAAGTAACTTCAGACTAAGGGGCAGCCGAGGTCTGGAAAAGAAAGGCTGTGGAGACATTTGAAGGAGAGGACAGGAATCCCTAAGGATCAAACAGCACAAAGGTTGCAAAAGGTGAGAAATGTAAATCATCATTTTTAAAAATTGATCAGTTTTTTCTAGTACTTGTTATGCAATATTTATGTCATTTTAATAAGTCATGGCATCCCAACAGTGGAATGATAGTTTGATAAATGTGGTACCATTGTAATGAGCTGCATTAGTCCAATTTTAATTGTTGATGCAAGAATAATATGTGGAATGAGAAAAATGCCTTCAGCAGCAAAGCTTGTTTCGTTCGTCAAAACATTAATAAGCCACATTTGCACAAATTCTGCAAAACTATTTTATCACCTAAGGTGAAATTCTGTCCTCCCTCATTATTTCAAGCAAAATCTTTAATACTACAACCATTAGTCACATACTCTTTACATTTTTTTCCAAAAAGAGCACACCACTAAAATCGTAAGCATTTGTACTCTTTGTGGTAAAATTTTGGCATACAACCAGAATTATGGAATATGATTCACAAAACACCGATGAAAATAACAATCATATACAATAAAATACTAAATTTGACCCCAGCCACACCAAAATAATGGGTGAAAAGAGCAACAGGTGGCCAAAGTTTTTGATCATGCACTCAACAGTACAAAATGTACAGTGAATTTAAATTATCACAACTATTTATTCTACAGAAGGGGGTCAGACTGGTATGTAAATTGACACTCATTGGCCAGGCCTCTACCATGGAGAAAGCAACAGTGAACTACAGGGTCCCCAAGCTTCCAGATAATTCAAAAAAGGTAGAAGGCTTGAATATCTACCTTTTGTTTGCAGAGAAGGGTTCATATACGAATGCACACCACTTCTGACCCTCCAGCAGTTGTAACAGGTAGAAAACAGTGATTGATAGATTCTTTTTGTTAGGTAACAGTATCAAGGGCTATGAAGTAAATGGAGCTGAGGTATAGGTCAGCTATAATCTAACAGAATAACAGAGCAAACTTGAGAAACTGAATGCCAACTAAGTCCTCAAGTGCTTAGATGAAACATAAACAGCACTGATTAGCTTTGAGGAAAAGATTAGTCAAAGTAAATATAGACCCCTTACAGTCAGAAACAAGATAAGTCATAGTGTGGAACAATGAGGTGGCAGGTCAATTAAATACCTACTTTGGCTATACCTTCAAAAGGAGGAAACAAATAATGTCCCAAAAATGTTGGGGATCACACAGTATTAGTAGTGAAATGATGCTGAGGAAATTCATGGGATTAAAGGCTGATAAATCCCTAAGGCTCAATAATCTATACCTCAAAGTACCTAAGGAAGTGGCCCTAGAAACAGTGGATGCATTCGGAGGTTATTTTTCAAGATTATATTGACTATGAAATAGTTCCTATGGATTGGAGGGCTGCTAATATAACACCACTATTTAAATGAAAAATTACAGACCTGCTAGTTTGACGTCAAAAGTAGGAAACGCTAGAGTTCACTAGAAGAGATTTAATATCAGAGCACTTAGAAAACAGTGACAGACTCAGCATGGATTTACAAAACAGGAAACGTGCTTGACAAATCTGCTGAAATTCTTTGAGGATTTAACTAGTTGAGTCAATTAGGTAGATGCCAGTAGATGTGGGTTTACTTGGACTTTCTGAAGTCTTTCGAAAAGGTTGCACATACAAGAGTAGCATATCAAGTTGAAATGCATGGGATTAGGGGTATTGTACTGACATGGAGAGAGAACTCATTGGCAGACGGGTAACAAAGAGTAGAAATAAATGGGCCTTTTTCCCCCAGAGGCAGGCAGTGACTAGTGGTCATTAATGATCAGCGTTTGCACCTCAACTGTTCACAATATATAGTAACGATTTACATGAGGGAACTAAATGTAATATCTCCAAGTTTGCAGATGATACAAAGTAGGGTGAGAGCATGAGCTGCAAGGAGAATGCAGAGATTGGGACTGTAATTTGGACAAATTGAACAAGTGGACAAACGCATAGCAGAGGAAGTTTATGGATAAGTGAGAGGTATACACTTTGTTAACAAAGACAGGAAAGCAGGTTATTATTTAAATGACAATAATTTGGGAAAAGGGGAGGTACCATGAGACCTGGGTATCCTTGTAAGAAGGCAGGTGAAGAAGGGAAATAGTATGTTGGCCTTCATAGCAGGAGGATTAAAGTTCAGGAGCAGGGATGTCTTGTTGCAATTATACAGGGTGTTGGTGAAATCGTATGTAGAATAGTATGCGCAGTGTTAGTCTTCTTATCTGAGCAAGGATGTTCTGGCTATGAAGGGAGTGCAACAAAGATTTACCATACTGATTTCTGGAATGGCAGGACTGATGTGTGGAGACAGACTGGAATGGTTAGGATGAGATTCACTGGAGTTGAGAAGAGTGAGGAGACAGGATCTCATAGAAACCTATGCAATTCTAACAGAACTAGACACAGTAAGTGCAGGGCATTTCCTGTGACCTTGGAGTCCAGAACCAAGGCCGGCAGCATAAGGATACGGGATAGGCAATTTAGGACTGAGAGAAGAAATTTCAAAACACTGATTGTTTTCAAGGAAGAGTTAGATGTAGTGCATAGGGTATGAGAAGAAAACACAAACAGGATCCTGAGTTGAATAATCAACCATGATCACACTGAATGGTGAGCAGGCTTGAAGGGCAGAATGGCATACTCCCGCTCTTGTTTTCTATTTTGCATTATTTGTTATTACATTTTCTACCAAATGCCACAGTCACAAGATGCAATGTCCTCCACCTGAGAATGCAGATTAAAAAACCAACACTGACCCTTGAGTTACAATGAAGAACACTATTTACTAAATACACAGATTATCAACACAGTGGCTCAGTGGTTAGCGCTGCTGCCTCACAGCGCCAGGGTTCAATGACTCTCTGAGTAGAGTTTGCACATTCCCCCCATGTCTGCGTGAATTTTTTCCAGATGCTCCAGTTTCTTCCCACGGTCCAAAGTGCATTGGGCACGCTAAACTGTCCATAGATGTACAGGCTAGGTGGATTAGCCATGGGAAGTGCAGGGTTACAGGGATAGTGTAGGAGTTGTAGATTCGAGTGGGACGCTCTTCAAAGGGACTCGATGGACCCGCTTCCACGCTGTACGGATTCTATGGTATTAGGATAAAAGTTGCCTAACTTGATAAAACTGAAAACAATGCATTTGCCAAAATAAAATCCACCATGTGTTCTGATCTCACTAAATCCAATTGCACACATAGGGGAAACCAACATTTGAATGCAAATTACTGTTGGCAGGTTATTTATTTTACATGGCATAAAGTATTGCTTGTATAAAATTAGTGCTGCTCCATAAAATACTTTGCTACTTTTAGACAGCAGCTGTTTACTTGCTCTTCCCCGGGAAAACTCGCAGCCTCTGGTTTAAGTTGTAAATAACATCAGTAGGGTGCATTGAGCCAAAGGGCAGTGCGCGCCCCCACGCTCCACCTGCCCAGGACGCGCGCCCCCACGCTCCACCTGCCCAGGACGCGCGCCCCCGCCGCTCCCCTGCACGCATGCGCACATTCAGCCTCCCGCCCGCTTACCCGATTCTGTCTTTCACAGCGACCGTGGGAGCCGCGCCTCCATCCGGCCGGCCCCGCCGCCTCGCTCCGTCGCGATGACCAGGAGACCCTCTCTCCGTCCTCACTGCCCCGGGGGAAATCGAGACACGACAATTAATGAAAAAGGGAAGGCCAGGGCGGGCGGCCTTGCCGAACGAAGCGCCGATCAGAGCCCACAATCAAACATGGCGTCCGTCTCTCCGCCAGCCCTCACTACCCCTCCGCCGGAAGTACGGGCAAGCACGTCCCTGACGTCCCGGTGGCACATCCTCCTGATTGACGTACACGTTGGCCAGTTAGCGCTGGCAGCCCTAAAGGAGGCGGGATTTAACTTTGAATCCGCCCCCGAACCCACATTGCAATGTAGATATTTACATTATAATGCAGCCGCCTTGCAATGTAGATATTTACATTGTAGTGCACCCATTGCAAAGTACATATTTATATTGCAATGCATCTCCATTGCAACGTACATTTGTATATTGCAATGCATCCCTATTGCAATGTATCTATTTACATTGTAGTGCACTCCCATTGCAGTATACCCTCATTGCAACTTATAAATTTGCATTGCAGTAAACCCCCATTGCAATGTACATATTTGCATGGTAGTGCACCTTATTGCAATGTACATACTTATGTTGCAGTGCATCCCCATTGCAATGTACATATTTTTAATCAACCTTTTCAGACATGTTAGAACACACCTCTAAGCAGGTGGCACTTGAACCCAGACCTCTGGCTCAGAGGGAGGAACACTACAACAGTGCCACAAGAGTCCCTGTCTTCATTGCAATGTATTGCATTTTTGAATTAAGCTCCAATTTACATTATTGGTGCTGCTGGTTGCATGAAATCCTTTTTTGTATGCTTATGTGAGCAAACCAATCAGGAGACACAGCTGACAAGGTTAAGGGTTAGTTGCTGGAAAATGGGACTATTATAGACAGATGTTCGAAACCTAGAAACTAGGAGTGGGAATAGATCATTTGGCACTTCGACCCTACTCTGTCATTTAATATGATCATCACTGATCATCTCAAAGTCGTATCCCACTTTCTCCCCATTATAGAATGGAATAGAATTGTAGTTTTTGATGACTTTAAAATCTAAAAATGTATGTATCTCTTTCATGAATATAATGACTGACTTGGCCTCCACACCCTTCTGTAGTTAAGAATTTCAAAGGTTCATTAGCGTCAGAGTGAAGAAATGTCTCCTCCTCTCAGTCCTAAATGACATAACCCCACTGGCATGGACACAATGGGCCAAAGTGCTTCTGTTCATCTTGTAAAACCTCTACGATTCTATGTGACATTAGAGCCACAGATACTATTTCACCGGTGTGGTGGCATTGTCACTAGCAATCCAGAGTTTCAGGCAAATGCTCTGAGGATATGGGTTAAAATCGTACCACCATAGCTGGAAAAGCAAAATACCACAGATGCTGAAAATCTGAAAGAAAACAGAACATGCCGGAGAAAATCTGTAAGTCTGGCAGAATCTGATGAGAGAGAAGCAAACTCAACGTTTCAAGTCTACTGACACTTCTTCAGAAACTGCTTTTTTCTATTTTTCATTCATGGGACGTTGGCCTCATTGGTTGGACATGTACTTATTGCCCATCCCCCAAGTTGTCTTTCAGAAGGTAGTGGTGAACAACCTCTTTTCTGATGAAGGGTCTAGGCCCGAAACGTCAGCCTTTCTGCTCCTATGATGCTGCTTTGCCTGCTGTGTTCATCCAGCCCTGCACCTTGTTGTCTCGGATTCTCCCACTGCAGTCCACTTGTGTGGGTAGACTGGGAGTGGCGTGGGGGTTGGGGATCAGAGTTGCAGGGTTTTGACTTCGGAGCTGGAATATAAAGTTAGCCTCATGGTGATCATGGAACTAATATTGATTCCCATTTTAAAAAAAGTATCTGCTCCACCAATATCCTTTAGGGAAGGAAACCTACCATCATGGTCTGGCTGACATTTGATTTGAGTCCCAACACAATGTAGTTGCCCTTGCAAGGACAATTAGAATGGTAGTGAATAAATGCTGACCTTATCACAGAATAAGTATTATAAAAACATGTCTGTTTCATACAAGAATAATTAATTAATAATGGTTAGATTGGATCAATAAATGAGTATAAATAACTCTATATCCATTGATTATAGGGTTTGACTTCCCTATGCCTTCCTTGCCAGTCTTGCCTTTCCAGAGGTTTGCATTCGTCATAACACCTACATTGAAATCACCAGGAGAATCAAAACCGAAAGAACTGCGGATGCCGTAAATCAGAAACAAAAACGAAAGTTGCTGGAAAAGCTCAGCAGGCCTGGCAGCATCTGTGAAGAAAAAATCTGAATTAATGTTTTGGGTCCAGTTCTGAGGAAGGGTCACCGGATCCAAAACATTAACTCTGATTTTTTTCTTCACAGATGCCACCAGACCTGCTGAGCTTTTCCAGCAACTTCTGTTTTTGCACCAGGAGAATCACCCTGTCTTCCTTTGGAGACTTCGGGAGGAGACTCTGGATTTCTTCACCAGGAAACATTAAGACAGGTTTGACAAGATTGACCAGGAGATCCTGGAGCTACTAAATTCCAAATCAAATGTTATGGAGCAGGCCAAATCCCCTCAAAATTCATAAGATAGTATAGACTCTAAGCTTTTCATATTTTCAAGCTAAATGTAAGGTGTGGCATTCCAGATGCAATTCAGTTGGTCAAACTACTGAATTTAAAGCAAAACACACATTCATCCACTTTAGTTAAAATACAATTAAAGAAAGGAGTTGGAATAAATTAACTCTAATGGAAAACTTAACAGAATAATAGATGCAGTAACTATTACTATTTAATTTTTCCAATATAATAACATCCCATAAACAAAGCCTTGGCAAAAGGCAAATTCAGAAAACAGATTGTCTCATATGCGACTCCTGTAACAGGCAGAGAACCCCAAGTTTTTGGCTGTAATGGAGAAAGGGAAAAAATAGCTTCTATTTCTTCCAGAGCCCAACAGCAACTGCTGAATGCCAAACTAACAACTCTGGTTCTGTGGATGGCCGCTTAACTACACCCATTCAGGCAGCTTCTATTGTTCCAACTTTGAAAAAAACACCCAAGGCTTCACAAGTTGTTTATCCCTCATAGACTGCTCTGTACCTGTCCACGAATCTCTCTCTAAAAAGACAAAACACACCTCTTAAAGGCACAGTATCATCACACAAGGCATATCTATATTTTTAATATTGAAAGAGTGTGGCTGTCACTGGCTAGGCAGCATTTATTGCCCATCACTAATTGCCCAGAGGGCAGTTAAGAGTCAACCATATTGCTGTGCATCTGGAGTCACATGTAGGCCAGACCAGGTAAGGATGGCAGATTTCCTTCCCTAAAGGGCATTAGTGAACCAGATGGGTTTTTACAATAATTGAGAATTGGTGCCATTAGCCCAGCTTCTTATTCTAGACTTTTACTGAATTCAAGTATCACCAGTGATGCCTTTGTAAAGTCCTACAAATCCAGTGGCAGGATAGACATTCCGATTCAGTTCTGAAGAAGGTCACTGGACACAAAACATTAACTTTGCTTTCTCTTCACAGATGCGGCCAGACCTGCTGAGCTTTGACTCCAGTATCAGTGTGCTCTGCCTTGCCCCAGTATCGACACACTGGTCATATTGTTAGCTCCATTGGGCAGGCCACAGCATCCACAAGACTCATAAAAACGATTGAATTGAATTCGCTTTATTGTCACATGTACTCAGATGGGTACAATGAAAAGCGTACAGTCATCACATTACTGCACCATCTTACGTACAAAGGAACCTAGGTACAGATACTTAACATCAAATTCTTAGGAAACAAAAAAAAATTATCAAGATCTCTACTTTGCGCTTTGTCACAGTAAGTGGCAGAGGAAATGCTTTGAGGATGTCTGAAAAGTATCCCAGAAAGAGTGTAACATCCCTACCAATACATGGAAGTGTCTTGCCCAAGACAGACTGAATTGGAGAAGAAGCAGCACGAAGCCTGTAACAATTTCCTGCGTCTCAGACAGGCCCACATAGAGGTCAAGCACAAACGGCAGAAGCAGCACCTGAAAGCCTGAGCATCTCACCCACCTCTTCAAACACCCACTTCACCACCTGAAGTAAGGTGTGAGGATCCAGTATTGGACTGTTCTGTCAACCTCAGGATCCACACCACCAGACTGAAAAAAAGTCATCCTTGATTCTGAGGGGCTGCCTAAGAGAAGGCACTGAAATAGTGGGAGAGATAGTAGGAACTGCCAATGCTGGAGAATCTGAGATAACAAGGTGTAGAGCTGGATGAACACAGCAGGCCAAGCAGCCTTCCCCTCTCTCCCTATTTATTTCAGAACCCCCTTCCCCTCCCCCATTTCTGAAGAAGTGTCTAGACCCGAAACGTCAGCCTTTCTGCTCCTCTGATGCTGCTTGGCCTGCTGTGTTCATCCAGCTCTACA